CTTTCGATTTCGTTAATGTAGGAGGTAAAATGTTGTTAGAAGTGAAACCAAAGGTGCTCCTCCCCCCAAAGTTTTCATGTCAATTAGATATTTTATAATTACTTATTAGCTCGCTAAAACCCTGATCTTCCTTCATTGTCCCTGAAATATAATTATAGTTTGATACCGAGCCTGGATGGAGTAGACAATAATGCTTGTGAACCCAGGCCTTCCCTTTGAGTCTTCAGGGGTCAATAACATCTTCAGTTCATTCTTTGGTTAGAATTCAAACCACTTCCATGGAAGTTGCATCCTTTTGTTGCTTTATCTCCATAAATGTTTGAAGCAAAGTGTTGGTGTTGATTCTGTTTTGCCAACTTCTTGGACTTGCTAAACTTTGTGGCCTTCTGGAAATCTTATTCATTATTAGGATGTTATGGTCTCTTGTTCAATCTCATAAATTTGGTTGGTTTTCTCGCCAACCTGTTTTTCGTTTGTACTCTATTCCTGGTCTTAAGATCTTTTTACTTTGTGGTTGATAACAATGGTGTTCATGTTTTAGAATTGGGTTAAATTTTATAACTGAAAGGATCATACTAGGAATGAGAGATAATTCTTATTTGATATTGGGCCTTATGGCATGATGCCAAATTTCCAATTGGGCCGAGAGGTATTGAAACAAATTCTGGTTTTCTTCTTACTAATGTTTTTTTACAGGAGAGGTAAACTATACCTACTTGTATTAACTGGTCCTACGGATCAATGAGAGTAGTGTTTAGTGTAATTGTTCGTGTTAAGATAAGTAATACCTTCTGTGGTACAAAATCAAACCTAGCTTGGCATGGAATTTTGTGATTTTTATCAGAATCTTGGCAATGCTTTTGGGTCCTGACACTTGAGTGTCTTGTTCATTTTTTTCGCAGGGTTATATAATTGATATTAAGCATATTCTCCAGAGATGGACAACGAGAATCCCGAGCCCATCATGAATAATGAACTCGTGCCCATGGAGGATGCAGAAACCACAGTGGATACTCAAGACATGGAGGAGACTCCAACACTGGACTCGGTAATGCAACTCGATGTCTTGGATCATCCTAGTCAGCACAACTACCATGTTGAGATTGTGCCCCAGAACAGTGCCGAGCAGCCTCCCACCAGGCGCCGCAAAAAGAAGTCTGTTGTCTGGGAACACTTCACCATTGAGACGATTGGGTCTGGCTGCAGGAGGGCATGCTGCAAGCAGTGCAAGCAATCGTTCGCCTACAGCACGGGCAACAAGGTCGCTGGCACCAGCCACCTGAAGCGCCACATAGCCAAGGGGACCTGCCCAGCCGTCCTCCGTAATCAGGAAAGCAAAGACCAGCTCACTCCCTACAGTGCCCCAACCAAGATGGCGCCTGCATTCTCCTCCGACCCGCCCAAGAAGAGACGCTACAGGACGGCTGGCATCCCTTACGTTGCCTTTGATGCTGACCGCTGCCGGCATGAGATTACCAAGATGATCATCATGCATGATTACCCCCTCCACATTGTTGAGCACCCGGGCTTCGTGGCCTTCACCCAGAGCCTTCAACCCCGTTTCGACATGGTCAGTTTCAACACCATACAGGGAGACTGTGTCGCCACCTATCTCAAGGAGAAGCAGAGCATCCTAAAGGTGATTGAGGGTATGCCCGGCCGTGTCTGCCTCACACTTGACCTCTGGTCCTCGCCCAATACCACAGGCTACATTTTCATAAGCGGCCAGTTCATTGATAGCGATTGGAAGATGCACCGGAAGCTTCTCAACGTCATTATGGAGCCCTTCCCAGATTCTGACACCGCCTTTAGCCACTCGGTGGCTGCATGCCTTTCCGACTGGGGCATAGATGGGAAATTGTTCTCTGTGGTTATAAACCAGTCCCTGAGTGATGCTGCTGTTGACAACCTGAGGGCTCTGCTCTCTGTGAAGAACCCACTCGTGCTCGACGGGCAACTGTTGGTCGGCAACTGTTTGGCTCGTTCCTTGAGCAGGATTGTCTGTGACACCTTGGCTTCTGTGGTGGGCATCGTTAAGAAAGTGAGGGACAGCGTAAAGTACGTCAAGACCTCAGAATCGCGTGAGGAGAGATTTCTTGAGCTGAAGCAGCAGCTTCAGGTTCCCGGCTCCAAGGCCCTGGTGATCGATGACCAGACCCGGTGGAATACAACTTATGATATGCTGCTAGCCGCTCTTGAGCTGAAGGAGGTCTTTTCTTGCCTGGGCACATCTGACCCTGACTACAGGGATGCCCCCACGGCCGAGGACTGGAAGCAGGTTGAGACCCTCTGCAATTTCGTGAAACCCCTGATCGAGACGGCCAATCTCCTCCTCACAGTGTCCAATGCATCTCCACCCACAACAAACGCGTTCTTCCATGAGGCCTGGAAGATCCAGCTGGAGCTGGCCCGCGCAGCCATTAGCGAGGACCCGTTTGTCAGCGGCCTCACAAAGCTCATGCAGGAGAATTTCGATAAGTACTGGAAGAGTGTGTGCTTCATACTGGCAATTGCAGTTGTAATGGACCCGCGTTTCAAGATGAAGCTAGTTGAGTTCAGCTTCTCAAAAATATATGGGGAGGAGTCGACCTCGTATGTGAAGATTGTGAACGACGGGATACACGAGCTTTTCCTCGAGTATGTGGCCCTCCCTTTGCCTCTGACTCCAGCCTATGAGGAAGAGGCCAACGGGGGCCCAGGCGCAGTCAAGCCGGAGGACCCACAGGGGGGTATAGCAAGCAACGAACTTGGGCTCACGGATTTTGATGTCTATATTATGGAGACCACGAGCCAGCTGGCAAAGTCAGAGCTGGACCAGTACCTGGAGGAGTCACTTCTCCCCAGGGTGCACGAGTTTGATGTGGTTGGGTGGTGGAAGCTTAACCGAATCAAGTATCCGACCCTCTCTAAGATGGCCCGCGACATTCTGTCAATACCTGTGAGCACGGTGCCTGCAAGCTTGGTGTTTGATACGGTGCGGAAGGAAATGGATGGCTACAAGTGCACATTGCGACCCGAGACAGTGGAGGCTGTTATTTGTGCGAAGGACT